TCTCTTTCTCCTTAAGCTGCTCTGTTTTTATTTGGTGGTGGTCACCCCTCCTCCTCCTAACTCAGAGAAACACCTCATCCCCTGTTGGCTTCTGTGTAGCCCTTCAAAGTTGATAGCCTACCAGAAGAAAACCCATTGTTCTAGTAGGAGAGTCATTCAACATTGATGACCCTTGATTGCTCTGTCACAGCTTCTCAGACATAATCTTTCCACTAGGTGTCAAGCTCCTACTATAAAATGGATGTTCTAATCCACTAAGGAGGTTTGTAATACAACATGAAGGTCACATACCCAAACAAAGGTTTTATTATAAGGTAGGGCCCCTGGAATAAAATAGGGTTCATAAAAACAAAATGGAGTTCACAATTTGACATGGATATATCCTCAATCTGTCACCACTCCGTTTAATAAGCATTTAAAATCACTGATAAGATCACATAAATGTTAATTAGAATCGCCAGCTCATAGCAGCATCAGGCAGGCAATTTGTAATGGTTACAAGTGCAGTTTATTTGCATAGGTCACAACAAATATACTGCTCCTGCTCCAGGTGCCTGCTCTGATAAAGAATGGCTTTATTCTTTAAGGTGAAATATTTTCAATATTTAGGTCCAGAATGAGGTTAAGGTCTTGGTCCTAGTCCTATTTAAGGTGATGGAAAAGCTCCTGTTGCCTTCAGTGGTGCAGGATTGAGGCCAAAATAATTAGTTCAACTAATGTTCATTCAAGTTCCTTGAATCTTTAGAATTGGGTTTGACAGTCTTAAGCAGTTTTCATCATTTTCTTGTGATGTTTTGGCACTTCTGCTCCTAGTCAGAACCTGAAAGAGCAAAAATACATGGAAACAAGAAAACATTGGACAACCCTTCAGAAAGGTTTGTGTTGATCCAGGGTGGAGGTGAAAGGGGATGGAGGAGAGCACTGTGGATTTCTTATTCTGAAGCGGTTTGCTAATCCTTAGAGTATCTAAACTTGCTTTGAATGTGTAGAGAAGATGGAGCTCTACTAATTTAACTGTTCTACTGGTAAATCTTTTTTCTAATCCTCAATCAAATCCCAAAGTAATTTACATAATGTTGCTATTATACTATGTGATACCCAGGAGTTTGGGGCTTAATATTTCATTTGTCTTCTAACTTGGGATGTAACTTGACTTGTAAGATGCCGTCGTCTTTTTTTTTTTTTTTTTTTTTTTAAATAATTATTTTTTTAGATTTTTTTTTTTTTTTTTTTTTTTTTTTTTGGCATCAAAAAATAAATCTGTAAGATCATCTTTTAATTATGGTGCAGAGGGGAAAAATCAATATTAAGCAGTTTGCGATGCTCATATTTTTAATGAAAATCTAGCTACCCGTGGTTGATTTTTTTTGAAAATAGATTTGTTGGAGACGTCCCTAATGTAAACCACTAGCTTTTTGACACTAAAAAGTTTCTGCCTGGAGTTTGGAGAACGGGGCAAAAACTAAGTTTGCAAACATTTGTTTGAATTTTAAACAAACTATTTCTCACACTGTTTTGTTTGCTTTCGGGGGATATCTACCACTACAATTAGAATTGTGATGATAAGAGTTGCTCATTCTTCCAGGGAACAAATAGTGTGATTTCTATGGTTGATCCCAATGAAGCAACACAGCTCAGACTTTGAATAGCAAGCCACAGAGTAAATAACATTCACCATAAATTTTGTTGAGTAACGGATTAATCGGAGAAAATTATCTTACGCTAACAAACCACAAATAGGGCTGGAATTTACTGAATTACTTATTCATTAGATTATTTGTTCAGCTCTTTATTATTGATTTATGTATCACCGTGCTAGTTCTACTTGCTTTACAGACAAGGGCTTGGATGCACAAAAGGAGTTAAACACCTAGAAAATCGCTGTGCTTCACAAAGCCAAAGTCAGGCGCCTAGGCTCCTCTACAATGAATGGGGAGAGATAGGCGCCTTAGTCTGCAAATCACAAAAGCAAGTATGTTAGGCAGGGAGCCCTCCTAGGCTAGCTAATGGGAGATGCTGACCAGAAGGGGAGGGTGCTAAGCCTGTCACTGCAATGCTGTTAGCGATTCTCAGCTGTGACCCCTCTCCTGCTGTCAGGTTCCCACACCAGTGGTTTTCAGTCTGGGTCCACAGCCTACGTCTAAGGGGTCTGTGAAAGGTTGTCATTACCATAGAACAGTGTTTTTTCTACCTGTGGTCCACGGACACCTGAGGGTCCACACACTATGTCTAAGATTTTCAAAGGGGTCTGCCCCTCCATTTGAAATTTTTAGGGGTCCCCAAATGAAAAAAGGTTGAAAACCACTGATCTACACCATTTTAACAAGAAGCCAGGAGGGAGGAGGAGGACCTCCCTCATAACTTTCAGCCCAGTGGTCAGGGTGCCCATATGTGCTAAACGTTCCAAGGGACCTCCTCCTTCTCCCTTCCTTCAGCTGTTTTGTGTGAACTCATCTAAGGGGCCCTACCCGGTAGCCGTGCCCAGAGGGCACCTATAGGATTGGGCCCGGCACATGACTTAGGTGGCCAAATGCCTGTTTTCCCCTGGTTTGTGAATCACTTTGTGGCTTAAGTGGAAGATAGGTATCTGGGTGCCTAGAGGGAAGCAGCAGCGCACATGTCCAGAGGCAGAAACATAGGCGCCGAGGGAACTTGTACCCTGAAAAGCTATGTGTCAACTGAGTCTAGGTGCCAGCAGAGTTCAGCAGAAGTTTTGTGCATTACAGTGGTCCCCAAACTGGGATTTAGGGTATGTCTACGCTGCAATAAAACACCCATGGCTGGCCCATGTCAGCTCACTCAGGCTTGTGGGGCTATAGAAAATTACAGTGTTGACGTTTGGGCTCGGGCTGGAGTCCAGAATCTGGGCCTCTCCTCCCTCATGGTGTAGACATTCCCTTAGGTGCCTAAAACAGAGACTTAAGCGCCTAACTCCTTTTGTGCATCCAGGCCCAGGTGCTAGAGGGCTTTTAATCTAAGGCCCTGATGCTCTACAGAATTTAAGCTCAGAGTAAAAACCCCTTGGCTAAGAAGGCTTGTCAATGGAGTTGGGTTTTTTCTCCATCAAAAATTTCAAGTGGGGAATTGCAGGATCTCCTATGACTTTGGGTAACCTCCATGCCCCTACAATGAACCTTGTAAGTTATGGAATGGGGGACTATGGTGCTTCCTAAGGTTCAGTGGGGGCATTTCCATACTTTCAGGAATGTTCTGCACACCCCAATGTTTGTTCTCATTCCCCATCAATGCATATCTCTTGAGCTCCTCTGTGGTTTGCAGCCAAGGCATTCATTCCTTTAACTAATCACAGGAGGAAAGCTTATTGTTCTATTCAATTCAAAAGGGTTTTTAGAGTAACTCTTACAGAAATCTATTTCTAAAACTTAAAAGGCTCTGTGTCACTAACTTCTATAGGACTTCTTTCCTTAAGAAAAAAGGTGTCTGCTGTGTCTGTCTCCTTAGTTTCACAAGCAAAGAGAATTTCTGTGTCCTCTGGGCTGAGGGCAAACCAAATTAGAGGGGTGGAAAACAGACCAGATGTGATTAAAGAAATCATTCAGAATCTTGCACATTTCAGTTCAGGTTTTCAAAACCACAAGGCATACGGTATTCATGTGGCTTCCAATATGCCAGTGTTATGTATACAGGGATAGTACAAAAAATGAGGCAGGTTGCCAGGCCCCTGTAGACTTTTTGAGGATTTAATCAAAGGGTGCTGAAGAGCCGTCTTGCTGACTTGCTCTCCTTTTTATCACAGAGGTAATCTGCACCCGTCTGGTTCCTGCCTCCTGATGATGCTTCTCAGACTTCTTCCAGGCAGTCTTCAAGTCTCACGCAGACTTGGATTTAGTGCCATCACTCATGAAGTTAAACATATTTTGCTCTGGAAAACAATAGGGTCTGTTAATTCACTGTCTCAGTTTCTCTTTTAGCCCCAGCATAGCTGTAATGTAGTTACATTGAACTTCAGCAGCATTCTGTTTGTGTTACTATAAAACAAGCAAAGACCCTTCAGGCATTTAAATACATTTTCAATTGTATTTTTAAAGACACTGTCAACTAATTTGGTCTAAAAATGTATCTTATTTTAAAACTACAGCTTCTTATTAAAATGGCATTTTGAATTTCCTAAATACAGTGGTCACCGATAAAAACATGGTCTTTGCCCACAGCTATACAGTGCCATTTGATACACTGCATTTTCTCCTCTTAGGGTACGTCTACACTTACCTCTGGGTCCGGCGGCAGGCAATCGATCTTCTGGGATCGATTTATCGCGTCTTGTCTAGACGCGATAAATTGATCCCGGATCGATCCCGGAAGTGCTCGCCGTCGACGCCGGTACTCCAGCTCGGCGAGAGGAGTACGCAGCATCGACGGGGGAGCCTGCCTGCCGCGTATGGACCCGCGGTAAGTTCGGACTAAGGTACTTCGAATTCAGCTACGTTATTAACGTAGCTGAATTTGCGTACCTTAGTCCGAAGTGGGGGGTTAATGTGGACCAGGCCTTTTAGAGTAGGAAATAACTGTGGGAACAGTGTTGAACTTTTCAAGTTACTGTATTTTATTTTAATAATCACTCTATGGTAAATTATTCAGGAGCTGGGTGAGGATAAAGTTCTCTATTTTGAGATGAGTACATGGGCTGGGCTACGGTCAGGAGCTGTATTTCGTGAGAATATTTCTAAATAGATAAAACTTATTTTTCTTTCATATTATGTGGCTCCTCATTTTCCATAAAGGGTAGGACTTTCTGCCTCCTGGAGTCTGTTATAGCACCCAGTTAGAAATAAATATATTAAGCCAAATTATGCTCAATTCCATGGAATTCAATCTCATGTAAGGTATTATCAGGTACGTATTCGTGAGAAGTGCACCTGTGTAACAGAGCAGAGTTTGGACCAGCCTTTCTGCTGAACATGGTGTATTGTTAAAGTCCAGTCAAGTTAAGCATTATTAACACATTTCACAAGCATCTTCTAATTTTTTGTTGCTTGCAGAACCTCCCACGCCCATTGCGCCCCCTGAACTGCTGGCTGTCGGCGCCACCTATCTGTGGATCAAACCCAACGCCAATTCTATCATCGGAGATGGGCCTATAATACTGAAGGAGGTGGAGTACCGTACAACCACTGGGAACTGGGCAGAAACACACATCGTAGACTCCCCAAATTACAAACTGTGGCACCTGGACCCTGATGTGGAGTATGAGATCAGAGTGCTCCTCACCCGTCCTGGTGAAGGGGGCACAGGGCCCCCTGGGCCTCCACTCACAACAAGAACAAAATGTGCAGGTAGGGGAATCTTATACTTTATAAACAGCACTGCGGTTTTGGTTTAAATGTTTTGTGATTGAAACCTGAACAAGGCTGCATTACAGTGCAAGCTGTATCTAGCTCTACCCTTATTTCTATGCACCAATGAGTTACTGACCCAATAACAGCCAATACTCCCACCTCTCTTCTGATGTAGCTGTATTGTCTGGAGCGCTCTTTGAATTCAGGATATGGATTGATTGTGGTATGTTTGTTTTGTTACATTCATTTTTCTGTTCAGGTGGCATGCTTTTAATAGGCATAGGCAGCTGTTTAGACATCTACAATGCATTCCCACTCACGGTAGAAGTGGGAAACCCAAGAAGATAAGAAGAAGACAAGCCAATGATAATCTTTCAAACTAGTTCATTGACCCTAAGACAAGCCCATTATCAATGTTTCCGTCTCTTAAGTGCATAGTAAATACATACTTTACCTCTTAGGTAACTTTTGCAGTGTCAGCCACAAAACAGAAAGCTTTCGGCACTTTGTACAAACTTCAGAAATATTTTTATAATATGTAATTCTGTGATTGTTTCGAAATGTCTTGTTTTGTTTTGTCTTTGATTTCCTCCCCAGACTTATTTTTTCTTCAAAACAGTGCAAATCTCCACCCACTGATACCCATATGGCTAGTTTTGCTCTGCATGAAATTTTATGCACAGCTGAATTTATCAACCAGGGCTTTTGACTTACAGAATCAAATCAGACCTCATGATTAAATTCATGGGGACTCCACCATAAAACTTCCTGATGTGTACAAATCTGAATGAACATACAATTAATTTATTTGTTTATAGTTAGCAGCTAGACTTTATATTGCATATTATTGGAAAAATCTGACCTTTCCTCTTATGGAATTGTGCTATCATAAAATATGGACTGTCCATGTAATTGAAAAGCTTTCTCACCAACTACCCAGCCAGCAAGTCAGAATCTTTAGCCAGGTTCTTTGACTATTAACCTGATCCTGAATAAACAATGTATGATGTAGTATGTTATAATGATTTGTTGTAACTTTGCCTTAATAAAAAGTTCCAACAAATCAATAGCATTAATGGCAAGTGTTAGAAAGTGTGGGATGAGTACGTTTTTGTCCTCCATTCAAGGAGGCTGAATAACTTTACCTGCGGCAGCATTTAGTGCTATCTGAATGTTGCATGATATTGTGCTTTGTTCCTTCATGTTTGCATGGAGGAATTTTGAAGAAGGGGGTGGAGGAGACCAGTTCTGTAATCCAGTTTTAACTTTCCTGGTGAAAGATGAACCCGTTCTTGGTGTTCTGAATATGCTGTGTATTTGTCACTTGCCAAGGGAAATCAAGCTTGTTGGACGGCAATGGAGTGGGTTAGGCATCCCACTGTAAGTTCCTTCCTTCCATACTGCTTTCTTCTCAAGGTTTGGATCACATTTCATCTGCAAATTTCTAGATGTCTCTCGCAATAGTTTAAACAAAGGAGAAAAGTTGATAGAGGATGTCTCTCTCTTCCTTCCACTAGGGTAATATAGCAAGTGGACTTTAGTGAGCTTGTGCAAAATATCTGATTCCAAATATCCATGTTGATGAAGTAAACCAACCAACCTGATGTCTGCAAGGGGGTTTAAAGTATTTTAAGCAGTAACTACGTTTGGCCAAATGTTTTCCTCTGGTTGGATTAAGTCTTGATGCATTAGTATTCATCACATACTGCCACAGCATGAGAACCCCTGTCAACCCTCCTTCCCTCTTCAAATGGGGAAGAGTAGGGAGTTGAGTGCAACATGAAGAAAATGGAAGCTTCCTAACTACATTCTGTTCTCTTTGAAATGGGCAAGTAAAGCACTTGGCATGCAGTGTTTTCTTGAGACAAAACAGCAGTGACATTCATGCAAACTGTGCAGATCTGGCACACAGGTGTTTGATGTTGCATGATATCTGTCAGATAGGCAGGAGCTGGCAGATGGTTGGAGGGTTTTCCACAGTTGTTGCACATAGAGGGAAAGAACAAGGATAGTGATGCCAGCATCCCAACACACTCAGTATTTCAGCAAGTGCCACTGTGCTCATCCTCTTGCCTTCCTGCAACTCTCTGAACACCAGAATCACTGTCAGATTCTCTAGCCTGCAGCACAAATCATGGTCTGATCGATTATCTTAAGGGGCTAAGATGGAAACTAGTGTTACACCGGTAATGGTGAAGGTCAAAGTTTGAGATTTGGCGCCTGATTGGGACCTGTAAACCCAGATTTCTGCATACAGCTAACTGTACACTCAGGAACTGCAACACTCCCAAGGAGGCATAATCCCTCAAGTTCCTGAGCCCCGTAGAGGGAGTGCACATACTACACCAGTCCTTACAAGGTACAGCATGAGCCCCTGTGTCCAGCCAGCTCCACATGATGGTGGAGAGGGGGAAATGGACAGCTCAGTCCTGCTTCCTCACTGCTCCCTTTTGCAGTAGTTTATGCCTTCCAGGGGCTACTGAAGGAAACAGTCTCTATAACTCTCCAACGCAGGAACTGCAATTGTGCCATGGCAGGGCTTGGTTTGCCCTGTAATTTCCTGATTTGTATTACAAATAAAACCTTGCACAAATTAGGTGTCTTAAACAATGGGTGCAATCACACTTTTGCAGGAGCAACAAAAACCAGCATCTGCAAACTTGTGCATGTCATCTCTGTAAAGAACACTTGCTTTAAATTAAAGCTTACTTCAGTGGAGGAGGAGGAAGGGGCACTAGTGCTGCCTCTAATGATCTCTTCTACTGTGCCCCATATCACTGGGTTTTCCTTTACTCTGTATGGCATTGACTAACATCACGAATGATGAGGTAGATAATCGGACCAATTTGGCTAACCAATGTCACTCTATTTTCTTTTTCAGTTGTAATTTACTAACTGTGGAGAAGGTCACTGCGTTAATGTTAATTGTCATACAGAGGTTGTTGAGATTGATAGTGATGACATTTATACTTTGTCAAAAGCACCAGGTTGGAGAGATTCTAATGATCTAAATGTTGCCTCTAAGGAGGGAGGGAAGATGCTTAGCCAATATCTGAAGATTTTATATAATATCCTCATAATGGTAACTCAGATAATAGACTGGAAAATTTAAATCATTATCCCGATTTTCATACCGGGTGGTACAACCTCTTCAAATATCTTATTACTAGGATAATTACATCAGACTTACACAGTAACAATCTTTCAAGACTGTTCTGAACAAAGAAGAAAGTGACACCATTAACTCGATTTTTTTTTTTTATAAAACTGGCTAATGAAAAAAATCAGTTTATGATGGAGCATCTTTTTAGCCCATACTGATTTGTGTGTGTGTTTTCTGCTCCCCTATTTGCAAGGCCATTTCAGCAATGGAAAAACAGCAAACGTTTACACATGTATGTGGCTTTGTTCATGTAAATATCTCTGTTTTGTGGTCAGGTCCTAAATGACTATACAGCACAAACAGCAAAACTGACTGCAGAACTGGTTTCCAAGTGCACCATGTAAACCGAAAAATATATTTGTTGCAGAAACCATAGGTGGTGGTTGTAAGTATAGTATATCCACAATTTTCAGAAAGGTGACGTAGTTTGATGGTATCCTGTGAAATAATCTCCAGTACCCCTTTGATATAGGCATTCTTCTACGGCGATTGAAAATCTTGTTGTTTCTGAGGCTGTGGATGGCGTTGTGTTCTGTATGGCTGAGGTTATGGGGCAAGTGATGCTGCTTTTCCACAATTTCATCCCGTGCACAGCTTGCTGAAGCCAACAGGAGCTGCAGGTGCTTATTGCCTCTGGTTTGGGCAATATCTTATAGCCTGATTTTCAGTGTCCTGCTCAGAGCCAGCTTTAGAACTCAGGCTCCCAGTCTTGTATCTAGACCACTGAATCACTCTTCCCTCTCTCTTCATGTGAAGCTATGGAAAATAACTTTCAAAGTTACAATTATCCAACTTTCTTTACCGCAGGCCTTGAATCCAACTGAAGCGTGACCGAGACTATCTTAGCGTGAGTTTAGAAAGTTACTGCACCATAAGACAATTCTTATCAAAATCATCCATGATTTGTCACATTATTGATCAGAATGAGGGAAAGCTGTTTTCATGGACTTCAGAAAGGTTTTTGATTAAATAAATCCCCTATCAAAAACTGATTATGAAATATCCTGCTTTAAATAACCATAAAGGGATTTTATTGAAGTGGATAATATCTTATCTAAACTTTCCCAATCAGGATGTATCCATACAAAAAGGTTTCTTATACCACTGATACAGTGGCTGGTTTTCCGCAGGGCAGCGTTTTTAGGACTGCAGCGGCATTTGATCAGTCTAAATTCTATTCAAAATAAATTAAGTCCCTGCATGGTGTTTTACTGACTCTTTACAGGCTGGAAGAAGCCAGATGCCCCAAACTCATGGTAAGCACTATCTTGGCAAGTGAGTGATCGTGTTTTTTGGCCTGTTAGACGGTGACAACAGGTGAAGTGGGGGCAACTGAGTGAGCTCAGGCCTGGCAGCGGTAAGTTGTCAGCCAGAGGGACGGGTTGAGAGACGGGAGCTGAGCTGCCTCTGGGTAGGAGCAGAGCCGTAGCACAGAGCCGCAATTGGAGGAGAACAAGATGGGTGTCATTGATGTCAGCCACAAAAGCAACGGTTTAGGAGAGAAGAACGGGATCAGGGATGAGCATGTCTATGAAAGGTCTCAGTCGGATCATGTACGTGTTAGTGCTCTGATCAGAGATCTCCGGACACTGGGTGTGCGCTTTTCAGCAATCCTTGGGCAGGGCCGCCCAGAGGATTCAGGGGGCCTGGGGCAAAGCAGTTTTGGGGGCTCCTTCCATAAAAAAAAGTTGCAATACTATAGAATACTGTATTCTCATGGGGGCACCTGTGGGGCCCTGGGAAAAATAAACATTTAAAAACCTTCCGTATCTCAGCACAAACCCAGTTTTGAGAAAACTTCTTTTCAAGTCACCTTTACAAGGTGTCACTGGTT